TGTGTGTGTGTGTGTGTGTGTGTGTGTGTGTGTGTGTGTGTGTGTGTAGAAACTGTGCTCGTTAGAGTAGCAGAGGCTCTCTGACAGCATGAGATAAAGTTGTATGCGTCAGGCATGATGCCACATGATGCTTGGCTCCTGTCTCCATCCTGTCTAGGAGACGTGTTGTTGCATACAAAACGTTCATACATGTGGTTGAGAACAGATTTGAATCCAGAGGTTAATGTTTGCGATGAGGAAGGAAGCTGGAAAGTGTGTGTGTGTCTTGTGTCGAATCTAATCCGTATGAATGTGACTGTACAGTGCCGGCTGTGGGAGGACGGGCGCTATCTGTGCTATCGACTACACGTGGAACCTCCTCAAAGCTGGGGTATGTAAACACGCACACGCACACACACACACACACACACTCCTACGCATACCTAAAACATACCTTTTTAGGTTCAAGTGAGAATGACTCTGTTATGTTTTGTGTGCTTTTTAAAGAAAATACCAGAAGATTTTAATGTTTTCCGGTTGATCCAAGAGATGAGGACGCAACGACACTCCGCTGTACAGACCAAGGTTTGTTCTAGTTGCCTCAGCTGGACATCACTTACATTCTCCTGTCCTATTTGTACCTTTTTTAACGAGCATCCATTCAAATGTGATGAACGTCTTGACTTTAACAAAGCACCCAGCCTCCTCTGTTGCTTTCATACCTATTTTATGATCTCCCCTCCCTCACACGTGTCCCGGCATTGAGAGGGAAACCGAGCCCTGTTAGGTACATGATAGAATTGCCTTGATAGAGACTACTGGAAGCCGGTAACTCCAATGTCATTTCCGAAAAAGCAATACACTTACTGCCTTACGGGGGAGAGTAATGAGGTGCATCAGGGAAGCACCGCTCTATTGTTTTCACACAGGTTGTATTCCACAGCCTTGTAAATGGATGTTTTTGAGCTTAGACATGATAACGTTTTTGCATTTTTATTGATTTGCTGGAAACCTTTCGTTTTTTCCCTCGTTCATCTCTCCTCCATTTATCTCATTATGTCTTCGTCTTTTGTCTCTCCAGGAACAGTACGAGTTAGTTCACAGAGCCATCGCCCAGCTCTTTGAGAAACAACTGCAGCTACTGGAGAGCCCCACCAACACGAAGATACAAGAGGGCATGGTATGACACACACGCACATATAACACACAGACACAACACGGCATATTGTGCATGCTGTCTGGTGTAGAAAGACAGGATGTTGCTGAGTAACACACTTGGAGTGGAGAAAGAAAACTCACAATAAATTAGTCACAGGGGAGGGAGAGGGTAGGAGGGAGTAGAGGAGAGAGGGAAGAGAGGCCTTCAGAAAAGTGTGCTCTGTACACAGACTGAAAAAGAAGAGTTGCAGAGTTTGTGCCAAATGAGAGATCTCTCCTCTGCAGGGTACTCTCAGAGGACCACATACAGTCAGACCTGTTTTTAAAAGAGCTAGACAAAGACTTGGCTATGTCACTCACCGCTGTCCCCTTTTTCATTTACACACTAGTCTCCCTTGCCCCCAAACACACATGCACAGTATACGACGTATCCTTAATTGTCCCCGTTCCTCCTCCCATTGCACCAGAAGTGCAACCAAACCGAAAAAGAAGCAGCCCCGGTGTTAACTGCACTGCTGTAATGATTTCATCACAACCTGGTGTTGGAATATTGCATGTGACAGACGGACGTAAAAAAAACTGAGTCTGTAGTTGATCACTGAGCCGCGGCTCACGTCCATCATCGCACATCATTATGGAGCAGAGTTGGGGAAGCGACTTTGAAAGTCACGAGGCTGCGAGCTAGGACAAGTGGAGCTCCAGAAACGCTACACTTTAGTTATTTCACACCAAGCGTTACAAGAAGTAATGTTATGATTAACAAATGCATATTTTATTCCCGTCGAATTTGGGGGATTCCCTGCTACTTCGTAACAAAAGAAGTGTCTCTTTACTGGAAAGGTTCCAAACCGCACTGCTACTGGAACATATAGTTAAAGTCGTAGAGCCGCTGCTCCCCAGCTCTGTCATGTAGACATGAGAAGACAAAAAACAGAGGTCAGAAGCATCAATGAGACAGTGTGCTGAGACCGACCAAACTAAAGGCGGAGGGGCGATGACAGACTGCGTTGGCAGCGACCCAGGGGTCGACTTCCTGCTCAGGAAGCCCCAATTACATCACCCCTCTCCCATGATGCATTCTGAGAAGTCTGAGAATAGACGCGCATCCGTCTGGGAAAGGCAGATCTCTGCAGAAGACATTCACAGGGACACACCGTGTGTTCCGTTAGGAAAGACTCGCGCACACTTTCTAAACTCTTACTTAAAATCTTTCGCTACTTCTAAAGCGAGGAGAGTCCGCTGAACTTTACTGTACATTTTTAGTTTTAAACGTTTGTGCTTATTAATCATTTGTTCAGAGTAGACGTGTGTTTATGGAGGACGACGACAACTCCGGTGCAAGTTTGTTTCTTCTCTTCATAACCTTGTCATTATCTCACAAAGTTGCAAGTCCAACGGCGCGCACTCGCACTCCACACAAAACATTATCAGTGTGCTGTACTGACTCAGTCCGTACACACGTTGACTCACGTCCAGTCAGCCATTGTTGGTGACTAAAACACCCACATAGGTGCTCTCAATGGCAGTACGAACAATAAGCCTACACATGCACACATCCCACACACGGGTGTTTCTGCTCGCACGCAGGCGCTGTCGTTTTTTGCAGGAAGTAGCCTCGTCCTACCAGATTGAGTCTTCATAACACATGAAGCTAAATGAGGTGTAATCACATCCTCAGTCTTTCCTTCAAGTTAGTTCCTCGGGAGATGATACATTTACAGATACAGAGACACACTGAGTTCATTTGTGACTCAAAGCTCGATGGAGGTGTTTACAAGGCGGAGCCGACTCAGAAGTTTCTTAAAATGACAGAATTTTCGTAAAAACTTTGAAAGTAAAATGTGCTAATGTGGCCCGAGCAACAATGTATAAGAGAGGCACAAATCTGAGAGAAACTCGCACTGCCGAGCAGCCAGATGTTTTTATGACTTTTGGGTAATAAAAAGCCATTTTGCCCATTAGAACATACCAAAATCAATTTAATTTGGTGTACGCAGATTGTTTTATACTTTCCATTACTTCAGTTGGTTGTTAAAGAATGTGCCAAGTGGGACATAAACAGTGCGGTGGGACAAATTTTCGAATGGAGACACTGTTTCTAAACTACCTAAAACAAATCTTTGACATTACTAAACTGCAACTTCTTTTTATTTAGTAGCAGCACTTCTGGCTCTTTATGTATTTAAAAACCCAGAGTTGCACATTAAACGCAAACTCGCGTGTCTATTTCTGTTTGTGTGTGTGTGTGTGTGTGTGTGTGTGTGTGTGAATTGTCCAGAACGAGAGCAGTCCAGATAAAGCAGCCCGGCAGTCGGATGACGAGAGATGGGACACCCCTCCTCCCAAACCTCCCCGCGTACGCAGGTAAGACACGTTCCACGCTCGGACGGGTAAAACGCTTAAAACTTCCCAAAACGGATGCGCTCATCCTCCACACTGATGAATGAACGGGCTCACGCAGAAGGCGTGAGGTGGCCCGTGACAGAACACAGTGGGTGTTGTGTTTCGTGAGAGGAACGCAGCAGCAACAGAGAAAAATCACAGCACAACAGTTTGTGTGGAGCGCACAATGGAAACCTATTAAACTGACCAAACGGAAGCAGCAGGCGTTGTGAGCTTTCTGACACATTAGTTCCCCCGTCAGCCCACAGATGCAGCCAGCCTCCACTTCACTGAAGTTAACTTCTGCCGTGGCCTGAGGAGGAGCTGTAATTATAGATCATTTTGCAACTATTAAGAATACTCTGCAACACTCGGTGGTGTTGCGTGTACCACGACCCTCGGCTAGTTGAAGTAGAACTGCTATATCTGCTTTCATCCCCTCCTCCTCCTCCTCCTCCTCCTCCTCCTTTGAGAACAAATATGCGCTTTTTCACACTTGCAGGCATCTGGTTGGTATCTGTCATATGCAGAAACGCACAGTTTACCCTCTCTCTCTCTTTTCCTCTTTAACTCTTTCTTTGGCACACGTCCCACATTTCCTCATTCCTTTCTTATCCTCTTCTTCTCTCCGCCCCCTTTTTCTCCCTCTCCTCTCGTTTTTTTGAATCATTTCCCCCCCTTTCCCTCTTCTTGTGATTTATCCACAGAAGGTTGTTGAAGCGGGAAAAAAAAACCATACGTTTTACAACTTTTTAAAAGAAGCCGGGTTGATGCTCAATGTGTTGCCCCAGTGCTGTGGCTTTAATGTCACAGGGGACATCTTGATGCCAGGAGACACTTTCACTTAATTACATGTTGCCAAAAGCATTGTCTAAAAACGTCCAGTTTGAAATCATTTTGTGTGTCCGTGTGTGAATCATTGGCTCTGTGCTTAACAATGTAATTTACATATTTTAATTCTAACTCTAAAACAAACATGTATCGCAGCTAATATGACCTTTTGTGTGTTTTATTTGTCTTCCGTACTCAGCCGCTTTCATGGGAAAGCACACATATTGTTTTTTTTCAGAGGTCCTAATTTTGGGATGTAGCTGCAAGCGATCTGTTTACTGAAGAGGTTCTTTCCTGCTCTAAGTAAAACAGACACATTTGAGCTCTGAGTTGCTGCCAAAATACGTGGCTTCCCTGGAAGACTCTTGCATCCTAAATCTCAGCGTGTGTGTGCGTGTGCGTGTGTGTGTGTGTTTCCTAGAGGAATAATAGGGCCTACGTTAAGCCTGGGAGTATTTTAGTGATGGTGAGAGCTATTTTTACCAACATAGTCCACATTCTGTCGGCCACACTCCCCCTGGGTCACTTCAGCAGTGTTTGTGTGTGTGTGTGTGTGTGGGGAGAGGACATTTTTGTTGTGTGTGTTGGAGAAGGAAACATACTGCAGGAACTCCATTGAGGCTGGCATCAAGGTTGCAGATACTGAGTCATGGCTTTCACACACACACATATTCACAGCCACACCCTGAAGAGTTATATCCTCCACACTTTCAGAGCAGAATGTGTCTGTAGCGTCTCAAATATCTCAAATTGTCAAGTACCAAAAGGTGGCGCATAGAAGTTTGTCAGATTCTTAGTCTATTTTTGTACAGTTGTTGTGTTGCTACATTCAAATGTTGCTATTTTATTAAATTTTAAAAAGGGTTTTGTAGACAAACGTGTTGCTATTTCTCAAAGTGAATCATTTAGTTATCTGTCCTGAAAACCTTCTTTCATATTAGCACAAATATGGCACGGCCGCTTTATTTATAGAGCTACTTCCGGCGCCCTCTCTTTGGACCACACCCATCTTTGAAGGCTTGTTAATCATAAATGAATATACAATACATTATTTTTGAGTTTCTATTGTGATTCTGTGCTGAAGAGGAGACTCATCTCAAACACACAGAGGGAGAGAGTTGTTAGTTCTTATCATTTGCAGACAGTCACATTGACTATCATCTAATCTAGCGAGCCAAAACACACATTTGTTTAAGTCGTGATCTGTGTCGTTTGAGGTTCGGTGTCTGTATGAATCGGTCCTCGTCACAACCTGAAACCACGAAGTGTCTCTTTAAGCTTTATCAGCTTCTAGCGCATCTCGCCACTGTGACCAAACACTGATTTAAAAATGCAGCTTCTTCAATCTGGAGGACATGCGTGTTGAGGGCACAGTGCGCTTGTGGTGTGTGTGTGATTGTGTGTTTGTGTGGGTGGTGCATAATTTAAGTTCTTATGAAGGCGTGCATCTGTTTGCAATGCATACATACGAGTGAGTTTAGGTAGAAGAATACGGAGTGCATGGTTAGTGTCGTGTGATGCTTTTTGAATCGGGTTTTACAATAGTCGCAGATGCTTAGAGATCACGGCATTTATAAACAAAATACAAACATTTAATAAAGGTTTTAACACAGTATAATAAAGTGAGAGATAGATATAAGAACATTTTAAAGTTATTATTAATGTACAGTGTTTTTCAACAATTATAAATTCTCCTATAAAGAAACATTTTCTAGTTCAAAGGTGAGGGAACGACGCTCGTGATTTTTTTCTAACGAGTCAGGTAATTCTGGTGAAGAGTTAATATGGTGTTTTGGCTGCACTCACACATGTACACATAATGCTGTATAATATAATCACTACTTCTTTATACACTTTATGTAAACCCTTTATTATATTTTGATACCGACGTGCATTTTTCAAGGATGCCTCGTGTTGCAGTTTTCAGTTGTCTTGTGTGCTTATTTGTTTTGCTGTCACTTGTTGCTGTTTGCTCCTGTGATCGCTCAGCTTTCCTTCAGGACAGATTTTAATTGAATCTTGTCTCATCTTAGAGAATAAATGATTCATATCCCCATGGAAACAATCGGCGCCAGTGGGAATCATCTGTGCTCTTGTTAAATATTGTGAATAATCTTTTGCCTGCTCGGGCAATGAAGACGGTATACAGAGGGAGAAACTGTCGAGAGTAATTCATGTTCTCGTTAATGAAAACTTTACGTTAGAAAAGCTCCTGAATTTAATCTCAACAGGAATCCGGCAATTGTGACCTCTGACCTCCCCACTCAGGTTATAACAAAAGATGTAAGTGATGATTCAGTGTTAATCATTACATGCTTTCCATTAATAAACGAAAATACACACGGCGGATCGCAGCCTCTGTTATAGAGGAGCGTCGGCCAATGGCAGCTTCTCTGTGGCTTCATGAGGAAGTGATTGCAACTCCAATGTTGCTCAACAAAAGGAAGTCCCCTGTCCTAGCTTTCAACATCTTCTGTGTGTCTGACTTACTATCTGTATGTCGTACACACACACACACACACACACACACACACACACACACACACACACGCACATATATGCAGTCATACGTTATCTCTTGCTTTCGACATGCACTTCTGATTTAGTACACCACCACATCCTTTCACTGTTTAGTTTTTGTTAGTCTGTGTGTGTGTGTGTGTGTGTGTGTGTGTGTATTTGCATGCATGTATATATTCTGTGGAGTGGAACATTATCTTAATGTTTAACTTTCCATTGCTGTGTGGTCACAACCTCAGTATCCTGTGTATAATTCACACCACCTACACAGTTTACCTATAGGTGTGTTTATAAGTGGTTTATTAGTGCGTGTGAACAATGAGTAATATATTATCACATCTTTATGCAGTACTGCAGATGCTATACTGTACTAGTCTGTTTTCAGTTGGCTTAACAATATCGGATCATGTCCGCCTCAAATCAACTAAATAGGAGCGAAACATAAAGTAACATCTGAAGACATGTAATTTGTCTCCGACAAGTTTTTAAATTCTGCCACCTAGTGGTGGGAAAGTTCACAACATGAACAGATCCTACCTTTTAGTTTCATTGGTGCATGTAATATATTTAGTATAAGTACATTTCTTCATCCTAGTTTCATCATTTCTTTTTAGACGGAGAATAGTTTAGAACTTTCTTGGGGGGGAAAAGTGTCTGGAAGTTGTGAGACCAGTATGATGTAATTCTTGCTCTTTCATCATTTTCATTTCCTGAATTGCCTTTAAACCTTTTTCTTTCTTCTTCTTTCTTTCTCAAGCAAATACGATAGATTTTTACTTAAACATTCAAGCCACTTATTTTATAGCGTAAACTTAAAATAGCGTGCCAATGAATGATCTCTCTCTCTCTCTCTCTCTCTGTCCAGTTCGCAGGCAGAAGGTGATGTGAAGGAGGAGATCCTCCAGCCCCCGGAGCCTCACCCCGTGCCCCCCATTCTCACCCCGTCTCCACCTTCAGCCTTCCCCACCGTCACCAACGTGCGGCAGGACAACGACCGCTACCACCCCAAACCTGTCATACACGTCCTGGATACCACACAGGTGAGTTACTTACACAGAGATGTAAAGATCTGCTAATTACTAATAGTTCCAGCTCTAAATTTAACGATAGCTTTTTAACGGAACTGTTGCGAACGATAATCCTGAAATATTATATTGTTTTTTTTTCTTTTGTTAGCAATTACTAAAAATATGTGAAATAGCGCTGATCTCGCTGTAGTGTCCTTTTACAATCTTAACGGAAGAAATTGCTGGATCAACTTTCTTGCCTCCCTTTCAGACATGCCCCTAATACATGGAAGACTTCCGTTGTTTTCTAGATGATGCTGTGTTTACGGAAAGTGCTTAAATGTTTTTTTATTCCTTTCAGAATAAAGACGCGGACCAGCAGCAGAACCAGTCAGAACCCAGTCCCAACAATCAGACCAGTTCTGCAGAGCAGAAAGACCCAGATCTACTAAGTCAAAAGCAGCAGACTCAGGTCTCAAACCTGGACCTCAACGACAACTACAACAACAAATCGACATCGACGAAATCCGAATCGGGCCAAAGCCAGACTCAGACTCCCTCCTCGCCCCTCTCTCCGGCTGTTGAATGTTCCGGGGCCCCTCGGATCGAGAGGAAGCTGAGCATTGAGATTAAAAAGGTGCCGTTGCAGGAGGGACCTCGTAGTTTTGACACTTCCTCCTCCGTCGTAGTAGCGGGCGGAGTGGGCAGCAGTTCCCCCAACAGCGCAACAGCGCTGCAGAGAACCCACGCCTTCAAAGCCCGCTCCGGCCAATCCCTGCTGACGTCTAGCTCCTCGCTGTCGGAGGACTCGGGCACGGAGGGGGGAGCGGGAGGGTGTGGGGAGAGTCTTGCAGACGTGGTCGTCCTAGCCAGACCGAACCACCTCCCCGTGATGAGCGAGAAGGGGGAGACGCACGGAGGGGAGAGAGTGGAGGTGAAGGCCGGCCAAGCGGCGTGGGCTCAGGCCTGCAGCAGCCCCGAAAAACATTTCCCCAAAACCTCCTCCTCGTCGTCCTCCTCGGACCGCGTCGCCCCATCCTCGTCCTCCTCCTCCCACCTCTCCTCCTCCTCGTCGTCCTCCTCCTCGACACCCGTTAGGACTGCCCTGAGTTTCACCAACCCCCTGCACTCGGATAATTCGGACGAGCAGGGGGACGGAGAGATGACCGGAGGAAAGGAGGGTTGTCGTACTAATGTCTCCACCGCAACGGCCATGGTTACATCGTCTCACCACGCAGACCAGCAGCCGGAGCGGAAGGTGTCGCCCATGTCCATCGCAGGGCAGAGCTCTGCAAGTATGTCAGCTGCTTTTATTTAATGTCTCGATCCAAGTCCTTTAACGAACTGGCTGCTTTCCTGACAAAAATCAATTAACAACTTTAGAAGGAAGTCCGATAAATAAGCGTCTGGAGTAACTAAATAAATCAGATTTAGACATCAGATCGATTTGTTCGCGAAACATTTGACTAACTTAAGTAAACACTGAAGGGGGTTTCAGCTCAGTTCTGAGGAGTCCAGTTAAGTTCTACTCACTAAAACTGGTGAAGGCACTGAGAGTAACTCTTTATTATCCTCACACACACACACACACACACACACACACACTGTTATACTGCTTGGCTTAGAGAGACCAGGAAGAAAGGAATAACAAGAAAAGAGTGAGAGAGACGGAGAAACAGAGTGAGGTAGTTCCAGTCTCATTTCAAGCATGGCTGTGTGACTAATTGGTTAGTTTGCGAGGAATGCTGCAAATGTTAACGGGCAAACATCTGTCAAACCGTCTCTTTCTCTTTCAGCTTGTGCGTGTTTTTCTCAAAGTGAGTGAATATTCGAACGGGAGAGAGAACGAAATAAATCTTATTTCCTGAGTGTTTTTGTCACAGTGCAGTTGTGTGTGTGTGTGTGTGCGTGTGCGTGTGCGCGCGCATGTTGGATGGTGAACGATCAACACTGCATGAGACTGATAAACACACGTTGGCCGACTCTGAGCACGTTGGGTTGAACAGAGCCGCGTCACGCTGTTTGTGCTTCGGTAACGGCCTCACTGTCACCACCGCGCCCCCGAGATGTTGTTTTCATCCTCTGGTGTGTACAGAATGACATTCCTCCTCCTCCTCCTCCTCTTCCTCCTTCGTTGATTTCAAAATCTTGAGATTTCGAAATCTTGCTGTGAGAGATTTCTTGCTGTGGTTGAAGTGGACTTTGGCTTGCAACGGTTTTGATCTCGAATGGGTTCAAAGCGTGATGAAATACGACCTAACTGCATTTTTGGATTTTGCTGTGCAGGTGCATGATTTGAACCAATTTAGCCTCCTGTGACGATTGGTTTGCGTTTTTTTTGGTCTGCTTGGCTTTTCTGGCTCATCATGTGCTGGGGCTGCGGTAGCGCTTTGGAGTCGGGTCATGAAACGCTGATGGCTGCTTGTTTGTTTGGTTGCAACGATCTAACGACTGCTTGTTGTCAAGCGAAGGCTGGTGGCTGCTTGTTCTGTTGGTTGAATTGTCAATGAATCAGTCAAACTTTATTTAAATTGTACATTTTATACGGGGTAGTGCAGGTGAAGAGGCTTTAGCACTCTAACTAACTAGAGGAAATATAAACGGTTCAGAAGTGGGAAACCAATGCGTGCTATGTTAGTATTAAAATGTAAGAAATTACAATTATATAAAGCTAGAATATTAAAACTAAGGGATGACTAAAGTTCTACCTCTCCTATCTGAAAATGTAATGAACAATTATAAGTAAAACAATGAAATAAACAATTAAAAATGATCTTAAACATGCCAGTCAAAAGACATGCGTTGCTATCAGTAATAGATGTTTTAACGCTCAGTATTCAGTTATCATTAGTAGCTTCAGACGTTCACGTGCTAGTAATTCCACTGTTAGCTGAAATTACTGTAGGTATTCGACTTATCTTGAGATGCAAGCAACATCCCAACAAAAGCACGTGAACTCTACGTTTCCAAAACATGCTGCAGAGCTACATTAACTAGCATCCGTCTGCACCTAATGAATTGGCGGCTTCGTGTACTTCCTGTTTTATTTAAATCACCCAGCAAGATAAAATCATCACGGCGGGAACGACCGGCTGCAGGTCAGACGATTAGCCATAAAAGAGCCGTTATTTCGCAGTCGATGGATGGTCTCTGCCATGTTGAATGACGACATTATACTCGAAGGCGAAGACCTCTTCTACACGTCCCTCTTGCATTGCTTCCAGATGTTACAGCAGGAACTAATCATAACAGTAATGGCCCGTTGGGTGATTTGTCTAAAGGCAATATAGATATTTTCAAATGCTAAAAGGATAAAACTAGGAGAATATAAGGAAATATAATCATGACTGTCTGGAGCATGTCAAGGATTTTAGTTGCAACTCAATGCTTATTTACCAGTAAACTTCACAGATATTAAATGTGAAGTATTACTTATGGTTAGGCGTCAAACAAAGTCCTGAAACTAACTGAAGGAAACCTCTACAGTTCTTAGCATCAATATCAGCGTTAACACAGTTCTCAGTATTTGGCATCTCTAAATGCACTTCTGTCTGTTTACAGATACAAGTATTGATTTCCATGTGATCCCTCACAGTTATGGAAAAAGGACGATAAAAAATGCAGAATGAATGCATTTACAGGCTTTGTAGCAAATGAGTGTATCTTTTCAAATTCCAATTCAAATGGCTTTATTGGCATAAACGTATTCGGATGCTGTGTTACCAAAGCAATAAGTATGTTGTGTTGAGAACATTGTTAATAAATAAAAAAAGAAAAAATGACGTGTATTTCACTATTCATTAAAAGTAATTTAAGTGCTTTTCAACAGCTGATTTCACTTTTTATGTTGCTGAAAACGGCATAAAATTGCAATAAAAAATAAACAAAGAAAAGTATATAATGACAGAATACAGATATCTGTCCGTTTTTAAATTGAATTTGTCAGGTGACGAAACACATTTTTGTATCACTTTTGGTTTCTAGTAATCCGCTATCATTAGAGAAGGAATCAAGGGAACGGTTTCAGCTCGTGAGCTTTTCTTTGCATCGTTAACATTTGACTGATCGATCTCTTGTCTTTTTTCGGGCCACTTGTTTACGTTGCTTCTCATCTGACCTCTGACCTTTTTTAACCCAGACTGCTGGGACAGCGACGACTCCCCTCCCCCCCTCCCCGTGAGAACCCCCGAGTCCTTCCTGCTGGCCACAGGTGCGTTTGCATTGGTCCAGATTCACAGGTGTGTTTCCAGCGCAGTGGATCCACTGGGTCTCCTCCCGGACCTGGTGTGTGTTTATATGGCTGGTCACAGAAGGTGGATGGATCACTGAATATATGAGGCTTTTTGACTTGAGACTGAACTAATGGTTGGTATGCAGTCGGTGGTCTGAAAAAGGAGGTTTTCTATTCCCATTGTATCTGGTCCTCTTATCTGGTACCTTACCATGTTCGAAACAGGTAGGACCGCAGTCTCTCTCATCCTCGCTTCAAGCTGTCAGATGGACACACACATTGCAGGAATCAGGCCTGTGTCCACACTTCTTTTGTGAGACGCTTTACCAGTTTTACAACACTAGGGGGCACCATCGGCAGACTGCATTTCAGACCTGCAGGGTTCCTGTGGAGACCATCTTAATAGAAAGACTATAGTTGGTGGCAAACTGTGTCCCAATACATACTACAAACAGAAAATGGCTCAACAAAGTATACTCAAAACCATCAGCATGAATACTTGAAATACAAACATTTGATTTTAGACTGTACTACCGGACACTATCTGTATTTTCATCATCTGCTGTTTATGATCAAGAAGGATCATAGCTCTGACTTGTGTGCACTGACTCAGTCTAAATACAGATGAGGATGAGGCCTTAGTTCACTTTTCTTTTTTTTTTTTGCGCCCCAAAGTGGAGGATTTTCTCCCCACTGTGACGCTGTATTGAGGGAAACGGTGGCTCAATGGAGGAGGGTGTGTGACAGATATGAATGTGTGTCGAGGTGAAGTGAAGTTGTTCACTTGACATCGGTCCTTTCTTTGTGAAACTCACTCTTTGTGTCTCCCTCCGTCAGACCCTCTGGAAGTGAAACCGTCGGCCTCGGCTGAATGGAGCGGTTCAAATAAAGGTACGGACATCTGCGCCGGAGTCTCTGCTTGTTTGCCCTTGCGTTTATAAGCTCGTTCACAGTAGCTAGTCAGCGGAGCAGAGCGGGAAGACGGACCTTCAGTGTTTTTACAAATTAGCCCCGTCCACGATAAGACGGCATTTGTCAAAAGGGGGCAGCTGACAGAGCGAGAGAGTAATAACAAGAGAGGAAGAGATGCAGAAAAGATAAAACACGTCTGTCGAGAGGTGAAATGAAAAATGTGTGTGTGTGCTGAGTCACGCAATGATTGTGTGATGATGGCAATTTAGTGCTTCAGTAGTTTCTCTGTGTGTGTGTGTGTGTGTGTGTGTGTGTGTGTGTGTGTGTGTGTGTGAGAGAGTGTGAGAGACAGAGGGAGAATAATCGAAAGAAACTGTTAGACTTGAATTCTGCTATGATTTGTTTTTACTGGCTATGAATGTAATGCCAATAGGAGCATTTATAAAGAACACAAATGTGGTTTCATTCCTGTTCCTGCTGGTCGACGGCCTTCAGTTGTCACTAACTAAGTTTGTTTCATCAGCGTGTAAAGCTCCACATAGTCATGTACATGTTCCTCGTACGTGTGCTGTGGTGTTTTTTGCATTGGAGGTTCAACGCGTGTGTTAAATCATCCCAAAATGTATCGCACTAATGCATAAATGGGCGTCAATTCAAACCTAATTATGAAATGATCTGTGAGTGGAACACTTGATTGATCCGGCGTTTAGTATTTCCAGTACCAACTACGTTAAACTGAAATAAAGAAATGGAAAATGCTGGTAGTAATTATATCAAACTTAGGAGCTCTCTCAGTAAAACTAATGCAGTTTAAATATGTCTTACATCACTCACACTATTATGCAGCACCTCCTGAGTACTTAACACCGCTGATATTCACACAATGCTTCCGGCCCATTCATCCGTGTGTGCGTGTGTGCGCGTGTGTGCGTGTGTGCGCGTGTGTGCGTGTGTGTGTGTGTAGACGTGTCAGAGTGTGTTAAGAAGACATCTCCAGCTGACCCTGCATCTGCTGGCACCACAGCAACAGACAGCAAGGCAGACCTGGGTGGGTAAGTCTGCTGTCTTACCTCTTTTACATGATTCCCCCCTCTGTGACTGTTGCTCTACTTTTCATTCAAAAACATTAAGTAATGATTTTTATAGTCTCTCTGCAGAAAACTTTGCTGACAAACGTGTTTTCTTTTGTGACGTGCGGCGTTGCTTTTGCATTAGCTGCATGTGCATAAAAATGTTTGTTTTTTGAGACCAGGCAACAGTTGACGGCACATCGGAGGACATATTTCTGGATGTGTTTTTATTCAGTTTAGAGCAAAACAAACCCAGCTAAACAGTTCTTTTCCGTCTTCTGTCAGGGTTCGGTAACCGCTGCATTCAGCCCAAAGGCCCTCGGGAACCCCCTCTGGAGTGGACATGATGGGACGGTCCGTCTGCCCGTCCACACAACGGTGTCCTCCCTTGTCGAGAGATGGAACGCTACCGATCTCACCTGGCTGGTCCAAAAAAAAAAAAAAAAAAAAAAAACCTAGTTGATAGATGCTACACAGACAGACAGCACAGAGTTATACAGAAACGCCTTCTGTGTAACTCTGTGCAACACCTCCTCCTCCTCCTCAGTCCTTCCTTCAACGTGACATTGTGCAAAGCAGATGAACACTTACTGGTCAAGTGGCTCGTCCACGTTTTCCTGCTCCGCTTGCTGATGTTTTAGGTTTTCACTTCTCTAGATGCTGGTTTCCTGTTAACGGTTAAAGAATAATTCCTGTTTTGGTGACTTGAGTTAAAAAAAGAAAACGTATTGCTTTTCTCTCGCGCTTTAGACGCATCAAAAAAATGTGTGTGGCAAAATGAAGAGGGACCCTTACATGTTCGATAGAAATTGTCTTTCACGCTAAATGAGGGGGAAAAAAAACACGTTTTTTTCATCATAAATCAGGAATTATCTTTAATCGGAAAAGCTACTGTGGGAAGCTGATTCCTGGGGTTTGACTGAACTCCCGTCAGGTGTCTGCTTCCTTCTTCTGAATGAACAACAATCTTCAAAGCAAGCCTAGATAATCTATTACCCATGATGCAACCTTTTCTGTTGGGTATGTACAGGTTGCCAGGGTGCCCCCCCCCCCTCTCTTTCAGTGTGCTGGTGCTACATTACAAAGGCTCAGCTTAGAAACGGAGGCACTAAAGCTGAATGTTAACAACCTATTACCTGTTCCTCACTTCCGTTGTGGTTTCCTGTAGGATTTATTCCTGTATTAGCTGCAGTGACTTCAGCTCTAGTACTTTGTATTTCTATGCTGACCTCGCTGATTACCAGAGACATAGGTTGACGTAGTTTGGTCATTGCGGTAGTCAGCTGGCTCCTTTTAAACTGGCTGTTAACGGAATTGTTTTCCGCGTATTTGGCGTTCCTGCCGAGTGTTTGTTGAGACGTTTTATCCCACTCTCATGTCTGTGTGTGTGTGTGTGTGGAGCTGCTTAGCTTAGCATTTAGACTTGACACTTGTACATTTTTGTTTTTACACTTCCGTTTTTTTTGCACTTATAAAATAAATAACATGTGAAGCATTAATTAGTGAGTTGTGGAAGTGTGGGTCGTCAGACTTTAGGAACTCTGAACTCAGCCGGGCTAGCCTTTTCCCTCCAGTTTCCAGTCTTTATGCTAAGCTAAGCTAACCGGCTGCAAGCCTGTTTCTCAAAATGTCGAACTGTTAGTTTGAATATCTGCTAATTGTGAAATCATCGTGTTGACGTCTTAGACAACAAAGCTGAATGCAGAGACGCTGCCAACTGAAACCTCGGAGTTCTGTGACCGGTGATTCGTCACACTTCATGCATGATTTGCAAAAAGTTGAACCAAAGAGTGATGTTCCCTTCTCAAATTCTCATCATTAAAAGCAAAGATTAGTTAGAAAGGCGAAGCAGGAACATATCAGAGACCTGTAATCCTCAAAGATTTAAGGCAGCATTTAAAACTGCGTGTCCAAGAATTCCGCTGTTTCCAGCCAGACGGGGTTGAAATGACCTTAAACCACAAAGTAATGGCCAAACTCATCTCTGTGATTCTGGCTCTCACTGCTGGGAACATGAGCCTGCCTTAGTCTGCCTCTCAGAGGAGACGGCCAACGACAGTCCTCCTTAATTTGGCTTCTCTCATCAGTTCATTATTCTGTGTCTATTTGGCATCTCTTGGTTGCTACATGCAACTCATATTTCCTGTTTATTTATTTTTTGTCCTCAGCACCATACTGTTTTTTTTTTTTTTTGGTTTTTTTTCTGTTCTCATTCTCCTCCTGTTGGATGATCGACCAATGCGAATCAATGATCTTTTATTTTAGCAGCCGGTTTACTCATGATAGACCTCCAGTGTTTGGGAGTAGGAATGTTACACATCACCTGAGACTCTTATGGGACTCGACAGATTAATATAAAGTCTGGTTTCCCCACAAACAACCAATCCTCTTCAAATCCGACTTGTGTGGTGTTTCATCTGAGGGCCAAATTTTTTTAAAATCATACTGTATCTGCTTCTGTATGTGTGAGACAACGATGATAGGGACCCAGGACTACTGTTTTTCTCTGCTAATGTCATTAGCTACCATAACTATACAGTATATGCATTGTTTTATAAAGATAAAAAAAAACTGTACAGGGCAGTTTCGGTATATAATATTTCAGATTTTTTGTTATCTCTTTAAATATTCTTATTAACAGAAGATGTAAGAAAGTCAGTGCATGATGATGATTCCTCCCCTGCGCAGTGTTTCCCCTTCGAACTGTAAATTATTTTTTGTCTTTGCTTCTGGCAAATATTTCAGGGTTGTTTTTATTTCCTATGTTGGAGTTATATGCTTCAAAAGATCTAAAAAAATTATTTTTAATTGGTTGGCAGAAGAGAAGCATTGACTGCCATCCAGCTCCCCTTAAGATGGCTACAACGGGCTTCGAATAAGATTGTAATAATAATATTGATGATGATAATAATAATAATAATAATGGTGGGTTTTTTTTGTAAATGGTATTTTAGAAGTTATTTTTGTATACACGGTTGTTTGTTGCGTCACAAGTGTACTGCTCCCCAGCCAAACTCCCTCTTCTCACATGCTTTCTCCGCCTCTTCGTCATTTCCTTTTTTTTTTTTTCACTTTTTGATTTATGTTTTTCTGTCTCAGCTCTTTGATGTAGAACATGCAACAGAGACAGATCTCCTGTCCTGGACGAGGAGCATCTCGCTCTTTTACGCTTCGCTCAGACTTTCCCTTTGCTGTTTCCTCTCTTTCACCCCCCCTCCCACCGTCCTCTCTGCTCTTCTAATTTTAAATGTCTGTCGCTTTCAACATGCCTCTTTGTGCCATCAGATCAATTCACTCGAGCAATGCATCTCTAACTAGTCAGTGGGTCAACTTAACGAAATACGCTGAATAAAACTGACGAATAGACATTCTGAGAGAAAACGTTCTTTGAAACGTTTTTTCCAACTCTCCATTTTTTTTCTGTTAACGACCACCTGCCCCTCTAGCTACCTGACCCTTTCACATGCACACTAGCCTTGATCTCAGAAAAGAGCCCACCTGTGCCTTTAAGTGAGAGCCTGCCCCCCCCC